ACTGGCCATTACTGCTGAGTTCATTGGATTTTTTCCAATAGCTCAAGAGGGCCAAGCGATCTATGTGGCATACTCACCACACGCCTCCTCGCTATGCAGTTTCTATAATCTCTTAACTTCAAAACCACTGGCTAGGCCACAATAATGCACTTTATAAGTGGAGAAACATTCAATGCAAAACTGAATTGTGAAAACCTGCGTGCCCTCCGCCTAGTCCACGCAAGGGTAGCTGCAGTCCTGGACTGCAAACACAAAAGTCCATCTGGAAAAAATTCCCAAGGTTTCCATGTTTTCTCTCCGTAGCGTCTCCCAAGAGGAGGGATGCGCCAGGTCTGCGCTCCCGGCCTCAAGGAAGCGCAAACACCGCAAGCGCATCCCGCTCACGCTATCCAGAGACGCCAACGAGGAAGCTCCTCCGTCTTTACTCGAGTGAGGGACACGCCCGCCGAGCCGAGTAGAAGGAGCGGGCCAGAGAAGAGGGACTGCCCCCAATCCGTCGAAACTCTCAGTGCGCTCAGTGGAAGGTCATTGCATCAGAAAATGGGTGTTTGCTGCAGTGCTTCTGGTTGCATAATTATATATTTTCCCCTGCTGCCCCGTACAAAGTGCTGCAGCACGACTCTGGTGGCGTGGGGGACAGTGGCAAAAGGCGACTCAGCAAGAAAAAACCTCCACCAACTTATTTGAGAGTTGGCACAGATTGAGTCTATAAATGGTAGTAACCTCTCACCTCTAAATTAGTCACAGCACTGTATCCACTTTCTTTAATTAGACCCTCCAGAAAACGCGGGCAAACATCGCTTGATTATGCGGGGGCGCTAAAATCCGCTTGATTATGCGGGCTAAAATCCTTGCATTATGCGCGTGCCTAAATCGCTTAATTATGCGGGGCGTCTTCGGGCCCGCTTGATTATGCGATTAAACATGCGGGGTTTTTATGTGATTTTATGCGGTGAAATATGCGGAAAGTTGCGAAAAATAATAGATTTTTTTTTAAATATTGGGCTGTCTTATTTATTCTCCCTCACACACAACCTGCTACTAACGTTAAACCCCTTTCCTATTCAATTAAACACATTCAATGTTTATTTATTGTAAAAGCAATGGGGCTATTTTAATCACACTCTCTCACTCTTACACACACACACACACACACACACACACACACGCACACACACACTTCTCCGCCTCATTCTGTTTTCATTTACTCGTTCGTTATCTGACCAGCTTCAATCTTGTAGGCTACTCACTTCGTTTCTTGTAGCCCTCGAAAGGGTTTCGGAGGTTGATGCCTCGGTGAACGTGAGTTGTTTGGCTTTCTTGTCCGCAGCAGCAGAAAGCATTTTCAAATGTTTGAATGAATCAAAGTGGGTCGTCACCGTCGATTTTCTCTAAGACTTATGCTCCAACACACAGTTGCACGGGGTGCAGAATAGTTTCCCCCCACTTTCGTGAAAGACATCGGAGTACTGCTTTGCCCGGTCTTTAGCAGAAATGTTCGTCGTGTGAGTTCCACACGTTCACTCTACGGTGTTGTTTACCTTCTGTGATGCGCGAGTTGATGACTTCACGTCATCATCATCACTACTTCACGTCAAGACGAGTTAACTTTTTTTTCTCTCAACTTTGTGTGGAAAAATGCGGGGATTATGCGGACTTTTGATAAATATGCGGCCTTTTAAAAATCTGCGCCATTTTGCTGATTATGCGGTAAATTCTGCGATCGCAGGATCGCGTTTTTCTGGAGGGTCTAATTATAGAACAGGCCTTTGTCAGATGGTATATTACACTGTTTTTTTTCTGCTTCGAATAGTTCTCTCTTTTTTCACCATACCTGTGTTTGCATCACTGATATAACAACAGAATGAGCTTACTTCATGGTTCACATTGTAACCCCTCTGTTTCTGTGTCCAGGCAGCCCAGCTACTCCTGCGACCCCCGCTAACATCGTGCAGGGTCTGCCTGACTGGGCCTCCCAGATTAACAACACAGACACAGTGGCTGCTGTGGCACAGATCCTACAGAGTCCCCAGGGACAGCAGGTTAGTGAGCGTGTCCTCCAGGAGCTCCGCTTTCAAACCATTACACTGTCACTGTTCTGTTACGGTCAGAGGTGGATCAGGTAATCAGATCCTTTACTTCAGAAAAAGTTGAAATTCTTTGGTCTTCAGAATTCAGAATGGCCCTTTTGACAGTATTATATCTTTATAGAATACTGTATATTTATCTCTAACAAACACATGTAAGAGCATAAATCTTGTAGTTTGTCAATGTGGATCCAATTCTGCATACTTATTAGTTTTATAATAAGCATAATGTCATTTTATATGTACAAACTAACTTCAAGTGTTTATTACATTGAGTGCATCAAAAGTAAATCTTCCTCCATCATGCAGTAAAGTAGAAGTATAAAGTAGCATTAAAAAAAAATGCTCCAGTAAAGTACAAGCAAATCTATTTTATTACATTCAACCTGTGTTTAAGATTAGATAAGGCTTTATTTGTTTCCTTTATACAACTGTCTCTAACCCTGTGTTGTGACCTGTTGCAGCTGCAGCAGCTGGTGCAGAGCCTCCAGATGCAGCAGCAGAAGCCGCAGCCCTCCCTGCTGCAGGCCCTGGACGCAGGCCTGGTGGTGCAGCTGCAGGCTCTGACAGCCCAACTCACTGCTGCCGCTACTGCCAACAGCATGAACCCCCTGGAGCAGAGGGTCTCCTCTTTTAATAAGGTAAGCTGCAGTGAGCAAGTGAAAAGTCCTCTTCCTTTAATCAGCAGACGTCCCCTAATATAATTATGTTATGTTTCTTACAGAAGCTGCTGGGTCCTTTTGATTTTGGGAATGATTCTGATCGCGGTGACGATTCTAAAAAGGAATCCTCGTCATCTCAGATGTGAGTACAGTGTGTTTTGGCTAAATAGTGATCAAGAGTCATTTCACTGTCAACCACCTCGATTAATCTAATTGATCCGATCACTTCCAGGCCCATGGTGTCCGAGCCCAGCTCCCTCTTCCATCAGCTGGCCGAGCAGCTACAGCAGCAGAACCTGGAGCAGTTTCAGAAGCAGCTTTTAGAGCACCACCAACAGAAGGTAGGTCCACACACAGATCGCTGTTTCTTCAGAACTGATGGTGTACTCGGAAGTTGAAAAGGTTCAACAGATAAACGCTTCTATCCCAGGTTGCACTGTAACCATACGGGATAGTAAATACCTCTCAAATTGCTAAATTACGTTTCACTTGTGCAAGTAAAAAACACTAACAGTATGCAGTAGGCTACTCACCCAGAGGGAGAACACACCCTACTCCAACAGATAACTTATCATCCTCCGACACCACACAATTCCCCTCACACATACCTTAAGACCTAACTTTTTAATAAATCAAAACACACAACAGCTACAGCGCTATTTTTGTTTCTCCAGGCGATGAGCATGGAAGGTCAGGACTCCATCTTCGGCCATGAGAACTCAAATGCTCAGAGCGGCAGCCAGCAACAGCTTTCTGAACAGGACAACAAGCTGGATGACACCATAGACAACCAACAGCAGGTATGCATGACCAGTGGGACATAAACAAAACATATTATTTTCTTTTGAAAATGGGCTTCAAGTCTTAGCACTGAACCAAGTACCGTAATTTTCGGACTATAAGGCGCACCTGAATATAAGCCGCAGGCGCAGCAGCTAAATTGAATGATGTGTACATATATAAGCCGCACTGGACTATAAGCCGCAGGTGTTTTAATGTTTAATTACCATATGTAAGAGTTCGTGCACAGAGGGGATTGTCGGGAAAGAGATGGCTGTTTGAGGAAGCTCCCATTTATTAACATTTCAACAAACAAGTTGCATATTTGCATAACGTATTCAAGTGTTACCATTTAGTGCAATAGTAGCTACAGAACATGTACTGTGCTGTGTAAACTGTACTGTATCACATAGCGTTTCAGACACACAAACTTTTCAATTTCAAACTTAAACGGTGCGCTCCCAGCGCACGTACCGGCAGTGATCTACAGCAGTGGTTTTCAACCAGTGGTACGGGGACAAACTGTCTCGCTCCCGTAATGTATGTCTGTCTTGCTCTCGTTCTCTCTCTCGTATCACTCTCGGTTCCACTTTTACTTTTGCGCGCTACCTGTCTCACTCTTTTCCGGCCTCCAGCTTTTCCTGCTGGAGCCCGCCGCTTAAAGGTGGGGGGCGCGGGCCGGCCATAGAGCCCATAGAGTTAAAGGTGGTGGACTGTAACCTGTAAAATCCATAGATTTAGGAGGTTCCCTAGTGGCCGTTAGCTGTAAAAATCCATAGATTAGCCGCACCGTTATATAAGCCGCAGGGTCGAAAAATGGGGAAAAGGCGCGGCTTATAGTCCGAAAATTACGGTAGTCACTTTTGTACTCCTATATCGGTCGATAATGCTTTGAAACCCTTTGCATATACAGGTGTTGGAATCATGTTGTTCTATAAAGTTGTAAAAGTAGTAGTA